CAGCAGGACATTTTGAACGCCCTTGCATAGTTTCTACCAGACTCATTCTGTCAGAGACTTGCGCTTGGAGAAATATGCTATTGGAAATTCCCACAAAAAGAGAACTCTTAAGGCCTCTAGGCCAAACAGTTGATTAGCTTGGTGGAGTCAACAGAGCATAGACACGACTTCAAGTCCTGTCGCATTTGTTTCCTGAAAAAAAAGGGAGGCTGACAGGAGTTCTGCATGCTGATGCGTTCACGCAGAAAGCTGGGAGTCTTTTCAGTCTCCATGTTATGCTTCAATTGCAGGGAGAAAGAGAGAGAATCAGCAGGGAGCAAGACGCTGGGAACTCAGCAAGCTGGCAAGAGTTCAACACAGAGCAAGGCTGAAAAACAAGGCTAGGATCTCATTTCACTGCAAAAGGGTCAAAATCCACGCGGGTTGATTTTATTTCACTTTAAAATCAAGCGACTTTTTTTGCCATGGAGCTGCGCCGAAGGTCCAAATCCAACGGCTGCCCAGTTATATAGGGAGTGTGGAGTTTAAGCTTGCTTTCTCACCATGGCATGTCTCATGCCATCTAATCTACATCAGTGAAGCCAGTTTGGGCCCAGCAGGTGGTTTCTTCTCAGTTTGTTTTCAGTTGTCTTTCCTTTGTCAAAACCGTGCAAAATGTTAAGCTTGGACATAGAAGCAGGGAGTATCCAAGTTTTGCTTTGAAGTTGGCGATTCATCTGAAGTGGAGACTGAGATTTAAGGGGACGCAGACCCACGTAACTTAAAACTGAAAAAAACATTTATCTAAGCCTTTGAGAGGTGAAATGAGGACGTTTCACGTTGCTCCACTTTGGAATATACTTTACTGGTTTTCAAAAGCAAAATGTATATGGGCACAGTGTCCTGAAGTGACCAGCAGGATGAACTGAACAGATCAATTAAAATTGATGGATCTATCAATCTTGACAGTGTCATATTAAAGACAAGGACAACAGACTAGAATCCCAGCTCCCTTAAGAGAAAGGGACAAAAATATTTTTGTGTCTTAACTTCAAAGCCTCAGTGTGACCACTGGGATTATTGTGACAAAGCGCTCTGACATGGCCACAGATGTGACAGATTGACAAATGAGGGCTGGTGGGTGGTGCTGTCTGTAAGAGTGTGAGAGAGGGGAGATCAGATTGAAACACAATCTGGCAACAACAAAAGAAGTCACTGAAGGAAAGTCCTGGGCATTTAAGAGCTTCTAACCAAAGAAATGGGAGGAAGACAGGAATCTCCTTTTGTTTGTTGGTTGCTAGTGACCTAAATACCTTGCAACTGAATCAGGGAGTCCATCTGGCTAAAAGTAAGAAAATAAACTCTTGTTTGTTCATGGAGTTGTTTTTATTGAGAGCAATAGCTGGGCAAAACAGACAGGGCTGTGCATTCCCTTGGTTGCACTGAGCAGAGGTGGGAATCCCTTACACAGTTTTGGCTGAACATGCAATTCTGTCCATATGCACGTCTGGCACTCAGGTAGGGGTGGGAAGTTAGCTATGTCTCCTAAATTCAACAGAGGTCATAGCCACAAAGATGAACCCTAACTACCTTTTGCATAAGATGGGAGCATGGCATAATTGGTGTTACCATGTGTCCTGCCCAAAGCATCTGAAAGTCTTACCTACTCTACAATAAAGCAACAGAGCTTTACTCATGATAGGGAAAACAAACGTGACAGGGTTTAGAGTGAGCTGGACTAATAGCACACTAATGACCCTTTTAATAACCTCAGTGAGTCAATTCAATTCACTGAGCTTGCATAAAAATAATGCAGCAAAGAAAAACAACAACAAAAAAGTTTTTCTGCCAGTTTAGCAGGCTAAACTGGCTCATGAAGGGGCCTGATAAAGCCAGGGTCTGTGCAAGGAAAGGAGCAGCTCTTGCCTGAAAATGAGGGCAGTGGACTGCTCTTTCAGCAAGAGCAAGATGTGAGATCATTTCAGCCATTTGATGGGATGTCACCCTGCACAGGCCCGGCACTTCACCAGGCGCAAATGCGGGCAGCATTATAAGCAGGCACCCACTCAAGACGGCCTTTATCTTATCTGTAAAATTTTACACTAGTATGCACATATGGTGAGTGGCATCTCAATGAAAAGTCTCTCTTAGGTCTCAGAATGATCTCAAAGTGACCAAAGTGATCTCCTGCTGTTCTGGGCATGCCTAAAATGACCGTTGCTGAAAGGAATTAGGGGGAAAACACACATTCTTCTGGTTTCAAGATGGTTTCTTTTGTGTATTGAGCAGCCCTTTGTGTAGCAGAAGATCAGATAGTTCCTTGTAAAGCTAAGCCATTAGTATCTCCCCTTTCTGGTGTGAGACACCGTAGGAAAAGAGAAATAATATCCTTACTCTTCATTTCTAACAGAACACGACAGTAAAAGGCAAGGGACAGCAAGAAGGATTCAGAGACAGGTGTGGAGTTTGAAGCTACTTTAAACTTGGTTATTGGAAGCTGCCCTGACTTTATGGCAGAGTTCAAGACCTAGAAGATACGTGGAAACAATCCAGACAGGGACACGATCCTCTTTGCCTGCAGACCTTGGCTGCTCTGATTTGGCCACGAGTCAGTACAACTTTCCCCTCTATCCTCACTCCCGTAGACATGAAACTGATACAAATACCCTCATCCTGGCCAAAGCCAGCAGGTGTTTTGAGTCAATTTGCCCTTGTTTTATCTCAAGTGGAAAGGGAGGGCAGCAAAAGAGCCACCATTCTGCTTTGACCTTGCTGGGAATGTGGGGAGCTAGAAGGACTCATCCAAACTCCAAGTGCACATCCCACCTCCAACACGCTTACCTTGCTTTGCTTTCTGTCCAGATAGAACTGATGTTGACTAATGGCCATAGCCCAGATAGACTTTATCAGTGCTGGACAGGCGTACCACGTATGCACAGCAATGCCACTATGCCCAAAAGTCCTCCTGGTCACAGATGCCCTGGAGAGGAGGGAAAAACGAACTGGGTTACACAAGGTTTCCTCAGAAGGGTTCTGCTGCAGAAAATAACCACAGACGTCACAGTAAAAGCTACTCTCCTTACTGAGCACACCCTTGCGCCAGTGGTAAAAAAGCTTGGAGAACAGCAATGAATAGCCATTCAAGCCAAGAGAGCCTTTACTTACTGGACTAGCCCAGTTTGTCCAGTCTGAACTGAACTCCTGGGTTTGGTTCAGCTGACGTCACCCTGTTACGCACCCCACAGGAGTCACTAAGGCCAAAGTGCGTGTGAATCCTGTGTACCTAACGTGCTGAGATGCCCGAGGCCAAGTCTTCATCCCCTTCACTACCTCTGGCTTTGGATAGCGGCTCCCAAATATCAGGACCCTCGTGACTAAAGAACCACAGGACCAATAGCTGCTTTAAAGAACACAGCAGAAAAAATTCAGGTACCTTGATTTCCCCATTTCTAACTGGCTGCAGGATTTGCCATACGCTATGGAGTTTTGTGGTTCAGAGAGGGCTGCCTAGTGCTCTGGAGAGAAGAATGCTACTCAGCGATTAGCTGAGTGAATATAAAAACAGGAAAAATAAGAGCTAAACGTTTCCTCTTTGAGACTCCCAATGGTCCTCAAATATTAGCAACAAATACAGGTTAGGCTTCCCCATGCTTTCACAGCTGTACAAACCTGTACGATTATTCCTCCTCATCCCTCAACTCTAACCTCAAAAACAGAGCCCCTGACACCTACACGCTGCTGGGTAAGCACTACACAGGCTCGCAGCATCCTGGTTCACAGAACTCCTCTCACTGCAAGGACATAAAATTGGCTGAATTAAACCAAATCACTAATCTCCAAAGTCCAGAACGCAGGAGATCCTTCTCTGCAGTCTATTAAAAGAGTCTATTGGTGGAATATGACTCTGAAAATGAATGTAAGCACAGGAATACAGCCTAGCCGAGAAATGTTGACGCTTTGTTATGGCTTTTCACCTATGGACACGGATGGTGCAAGAGATGGTCAGTGGTGTAAGGCATGCTATGGAGGGGCTGCTACAGTCCATAGGCCACAGGCACTTTGTGCAATGCAGATACAGCGGATATTGCAGGACAGCCCAGGAACTCTATTGTGCAATGTAAGGGCCGGCCGACTCTTTCTCCAGCCCTCTGAAGTGTTTTTCTGTTAAAGCACTGGTTCTCCTCTTGCATCTGCGCTGGCAGCCTCCCCTCTCATGTCACTGGGCTATTGTGCTGTCCGAAACTGGAGGGAAAGGTGAGGGAAAGCTGTGAAAGAAAAGCGAAACCCTGCAGCCAAATGGGAACTGCTGGCCAAATTCAGCTTGGGAGAGAGGTGACAGCCCTTGTGTTGAGGCCTTGTCAGTGCTGCAAAATGCATTACTGACTCAGATCATTAAGGCACAAATTGGAGTGAAATATCCTCTGAGAAAACAGCCATGGCCAATACAAACAAGGCTAGTAACAATTGAGATCTCATGTTTTAGTGCTACCCCAGCCTGAGCCCTTTCCATGCAGCTGGAGCAGGAAACCTTGTCCCATCACAAGCATTGCCAAGCATTGTCCCATCACAAGCATGGAGGCAGATGGTCCTGATGAGGAAGGATGCCGGGCAGCCTCATCCGCATCACTGGACATCGAACCAGGACTGTGCTGGGAGGTGCTCGTGGAGTTGAGGCTGAAGGGTGGGATTCAACTCCGGATGCTTTATACTGGTTTAAGGGACGCAAATCACTGCAGCACATTGGCATACAAGGCTCTGAGTCATTAAGGCACTCAAACGTGTTTCAGCCTAAATCTTAGTGTCATCCTATTCAATTCAAACATAGCTATTTGTTTTGAACTCTCAGAAATAAGCTTCCCAAACCATTCATCTTCTTTTCATTTCGAAAGCAGTGATTTCCAGACTTTTTTTCTCTTTGGGACCTGTATATGTTTCCCATCAAAACTGCAAAACCCGTTAGAAAGTCTGCATGCTTATATGACCACTGACATGGGCTTGCTTTTCACAGCTGACTTTTGCAGAGCTGTTAGAAATGGCCCATGGATGTTTTTTCCACGACTTCCTTCCATGCGTGCCACATACAATATGGAAATAACCCTGTTGATATGCCCTAAAGTGTATCATTCTCCTCCTATAAGGGACAAGGAACTGAGATGAAGAGAGGTTAAATGCCTTGCTCAGGACAGGAACAATGGGCAGAGGCAAGGCTAGAAAGGCCCAGCCCTTGCCACAACCACGGGGCTGAGCTGTGCCTGCTTTCCTGAGCCCTTGTGCCTGCGAGTGTGGCTTCGCTGACTCAGACTCTGGTTTGGCCATACGGAGAAGAATGCTAAGAGAGCGCTGTGCTGGCTACTCCTCTGCCTCCACATGCCAAATAACTCCTCGTAGGAGACCATCCCACTTGGCTGGGAGACTACAACTTGCGCTCTGTTCCCACCGTACCACTGCAACGTGTGTTACTGCTTTATACCCAGAGCGCCTGTTTAACACAGGAGATGGGACTGAAGCACACACAGTCTAGCTGTTAAAATCAACTGAGTTTATTTCTGTGTAGCAAGAAAGTACCAAGGAGTATCCAGTACCGTTCACATAGGAAAGGGCTTTGTCCTCCCGGCACTGATTCAGAGAAACAGAGTAGCAGAATCAAAAAAACAAAGTTGTTCTGTGTCAATAACTCCTACCATCTAAATTCAAATAGTTGAGACACAAGAGGTTCCTCTGCACGGCCACGTTTCATGCACGACATTTAGCTGCAAATATCACAATGATTTTAACGTCCCAGAACTATTTGCTTTCTTTTCCTCGCAATTGCTGCTTACAGGAAATAGCCAGCCTTGGCGTTCAGGGGATTCTTGCTGCTGTTTGCTTGCAGCACGCGTTTCTGATGCGTTGCCTGCTGACTAAGGTTTGGGGGGGGTGGGGGGTGGAAGGAATACACCATCCCCAGCTCCTGGTGCTGGAAGATCTCCCAGGCTGTTCTCAACTTTGGGAATTTGCTCTGCTGGATTTCATGGGACTATTTACATGCTTAATATTAAGCAGATGCTTAAATGCTGTGCTACCCTGGAGCTGCAGACTGGTAAGAGCTATCTTATTCAGTTTTTGCTTTAACAAAATTTATCTGTGGATACAGGCACCTTTGTATTGAGGCGACTGTGTTCGTATCAGGACAAATAGATACAGAAACTGAATGCAAAATTGGCTTAATAAAAGTACACATATTAGTATACAGATACACATGGGAAACAGGTGAAACAGGATCACAGCTGAAGGATCAGCAAAACAGGCTACTACCCAGCAGCACATCAGATCAGTCTGGAAAGGCAAAGCTAGTTTCTATCAGCCTTATTCACGCTTACACTGCAAGTGGGACATGGATTTTAATGGGGACAACTCACAGAGCAGTATACACACCAAGGGATCTTTTTCACTCTCTGCAGTGCCCATCCACTAACGTGTATGAGTAAGGGGTGCAAAATGCAGTGATTAGATGCAGTACAGTCATTTGAACTCACTCTCTCCCACGTTAGGTCTCTAAAGGAAGAAATAAGACTCCTTTGCCAAAAAGACTGATGGGCTTTGATCCAGACTGCCGGTAAACCTCTGGTACAGTGCCATTCCTCTCAGTTGAACCGCTGAATATTTACAAGGGAGCGTGTGAGTACAAAACCTGGCGCCCAGCTCCGGGCTCCAGCTGCGGCACGGGGACGAAGCAGACCCTCGTTCAACGTGCAGCGGCTGCCGGC